TCCTTAGGGGAAAGGAGGAGGCAGGGTAAAGGAGGGAAGAGTGCCTAGGGGAAAGGAGGAGGCGGGGTTAAGGAGGGAAGAGTTCCTTAGGGGAAAGGAGGAGGCAGGGTAAAGGAGGGAAGAGTGCCTAGGGGAAAGGAGGAGGCGGGGTTAAGGAGGAGGCAGGGTAAAGGAGGGAAGAGTGCCTTAGGGGAAAGGAGGAGCCGGGGTTAATGAAGGAAGAGTGCCTAGGGGAAAGGAGGAGGCGGGGTTAATGAAGGAAGAGTGCCTAGGGGAAAGGAGGAGGCGGGTTAAGGAGGGAAGAGTTCCTAGAGGAAAGGAGGAGGTGGAGTTAAGGAGGGAAGAGTACTTAGGGCAGGGGTGCCCAAGTCCAGTCCTGGGGGGCCAGAGCCCTGTGTAGCTTAGTTCTTTCCCTGTTCCACCATAAATGATTCAGCTCAAGAGCTGTGTGTTAATTAGCACAAGGAGTTGAATCAGGTTTGTTAAATGAGGGGAAACCCAAAAATGTGCAGGGTTCTGGCCCTCCAGGACTGGAGTTGGGCGCCCCTGACCTAGGGGAAAGAAGGAGGCAGGGTTGAGGAGGGAAGAGTGCCTAGGGGAAAGGAGGAGGCGGGGTTAAGGAGCAACAAGCGCTTTAGGATTAAAAGCAGCGAACAAGCACTGGGGGAGTGAGGGAAAGACGGCCATTGTGCCATTCCGCCATTGCCATACCCTCCGGCAGGGGTTGGGGTTTACACTTACACTGGGGTGCAGGGGCTGCAGGCGGCCGGCAAGGGGGTCCAGGGCAGGGGAGAGGGCCTTGGGGGGTGCCGCGCCGGGCTCGTACATGGAGATGGCCTGCCTGTCCCTCCTGTGCGTGGCCGGGGCAGGAGAGGCACTGAAGCTGACATCCCCTGCCCCGCGAGCCACTGCTCCGGGCCAAAGGCCCGGCCCGCCACCCGCTCCCTGAAGCATGCCCCCTCCCTCCTGGCCCCCCCGCATTGCACTGTTCTCCATCTGCATCCTGGAGATCTACAGGAGAGGGGGACGAGGGGATGGTCAACCTGGATTTGTAGGATGAAATGAACACGCACACACACACACGCACGCACGCACACACACACACACACACACACACACACACGCACAGACAGAGGGCTCAGCCAGGTGAAGCTAATGACAGCATTAGGGTTTAGTTCACACAGGGTAGTACAGTTAAGTTTGCCTCTAACTAGCAGGAGAATGATGTAACACATTAATAGGACACACATCCCTGGGAAACAGGTATTTAAGGTGGGTGATCTGTCTTATTGTGCTGCACAGAAACCAAGGCGATCATCCCGGCCCAGAGGGGCCTGTCCGCCGGGGTGTGACCGTCAAACGGACCGGAAGACTGTGCTTGGGGAACAACGGCACCATGTGGCCGCAGGGAATGACAGAGATGCCATGTGGAGGACAATGCTGGAGTCAACAAGAAGACGGGGCACAGACAGCATGACGCCGTCGAGACACACAGAAAACATGGCGTATACACTAGCGGCTCCCTGACACTGTACTTACCCCTGGCTGGAGGGAGGCTAACGCTGTCACAGCCCATCCTAATTCAGATTCACATGTTCACATGTTCTAGTGCATGTGCTCCCTCTGTGTCTGACGGGGCGTCTGAGCCATACCTCCTTCTGCAGACGCCTCAGCTCCTCACTCAGGTTGTTGTTGACCTTCATCAGCTGCTGTACCTTCGCCTCTGAGGAGGCCAAGGCCTTCTTCACCTCCAGGTACTCCTGCAGCGTGATGGGGCCGTCCGACAGGTCAGAGGAGTCCATGCTCTGTGGGGCGAGGGGGGGGGTCGTTAGATTGGGACACGTCGGCTCTGTTGTTCTCAGGGTGAGGTGGTATAACATCAGCTGGGTGGAGCTTGATTAGATCAGAGTGAGAACAGGCCCAGCCCCGGCGGGCAGGAGGTCTAGGGGAGGATACGTTCCTTTCTACTAAAATATAGTGATGCCCATTTCGTGGGAGTACTGAGACATTGTCCTCTCTTTCTCTTTCTTTTTCCCTCTCCTTACCCACAGAAATACCCCCCTGCCTTGGCCTAGGATCACGCCGACGTTAGCACAGAAACATGTGGAAGCCCTGCAAAGCATTCTGGGACACGCTGGGAGGAGGGTGTGGGCCCTGTGGCCCTTCAGCCCGGCACCTTGGCGCGGTTGTTGCGCTGGGCACCGCTGTTATTCTGGGTCGTCAGCTCGCTGTCTGTGTCCTCGTCCGACGCTACGCTGTCGTAGTCGTGCTGGTCGTCGTCGCCGTGAACGAGATCCAGCGGGTCTAATGCCGAAGGATGGGGGGGGCTGTGTTACTATAGGAACCCCACAAACACCCCCGGTAACAACACGCTGACATCAGGACTGATGCTGGCCCTGAGCAGCCCCCCCCCCCACTCACCCACGGGGCTCGCGAGTCCTTTCCCCTGCTGGCGTCTCTTGGCATCGCTCAGGATGTCGATGATGAGGGTCGCAAACTCCCGTGCGTTGAAGCGTGCCAGCTTCTGACGGCCCTGAGGGGGAAGATGGTGGCAGCGAGGGTGAGCGGCAGGCAACACAGGGGGTGCGGGGCCCACGGACCCTGGACAGGAGGCTGGCTGACGGACCGACGCGGAGTAGCTGTCCCTGCAGAAATAGTAACCCAGTTCCCAAAAACACATCTGCACACTGAAAATTGCTCTGCATTCGCACACAGAGGCAGACGTCTGCTGGAAGGGTTTAAGACCCGCTCCGCGACGCACGCTGAGCTATCCCGGCCTCGGCCCATCTTCAGGCGGCTGGGGGGTCCTGCTCTTCAACACCCTCACATACAAAACAGACTATCAATTATAACAGTAACGATGGGGATAACAGTAACGATGGGGATAACCATAACGAGCTGCCCCTCCCACGAGCCTCCTGGTGTGAACAGCTGATAGCGGCACACTGGCATCGACTAATCATGGCTGAGGAAGAGCGATCTGCCAAACCAGCTCTCCGGGGCCACATCTCCCTCCTTCTCTTCACCCCCCATCTGAATCCAAAGTGGCTCACACACACTCTCGCTCTGCCATCGAATCCACTGCCAGACCTATTTTTAGAGAGTCACTCTCACAGCTCCCCCGACTGTCTTCCTCACTCATCTTGAGTTTTCCTGACCTACCCTTTTCCTCTGAGTCTACCTGTGTGTCTGCGTGTACATTAGCCCCCCAGGTACTGGGCGCAGAGCCCGGTCACGCCCCTGTCTGCGTGTATGTTAAACCCCCTGATACTGGGCACGGTGCACTGGTCACACCCCTGTCTGCGTGTACATTAGACCCCTGGGTACTTGGCGTGGTGCCCGGTCACTCCCCTGTCTGCGTGTCTGCGTTACAGCCCTGGGTACCCGGCGTGGTGCCCAGTGTCTCCTTTTTGCATGTCTGCATGTGCGCTACACCCTCAAGTACCCAGGGCAGTGCCTGGTCTCACCCCTGTCTGCGTGTGCGTTACACCCCCTGGTACCCAGAGCGATGCCCAGTCGCGCCTCTGTCTGTGTGTGCATAACACCCCTGGGTACCCGGCGCGATGCCCAGTCTCGTGGTGCCGGTGAATACCTGGTTACGAGTGGCAGAGTACTCGGGGTTGACTGGTAAGAAGGGCACAGCGCTGCGCTCAGTCACCAGAGTGCTGTGGTTCTGGGTCGTCAGCCACACTGGGGGGGGACACATCAACAGAGTATATCACTGTGGTGACAGGAGATGCATTCAAAACACACCCAGCACTCATGCTAATGGGGACACACACACACACACAGGCTTACGATGTAAAGTGTCTGTCTGGCAAGGAGAATTAAAGGGAAGAGAGGAGAGAATGAAAGAAAGCCAGGAACACTCCCTCTTCCTTCCTCTCTTTCTCTCACTCTCTCTCCCTCCATTTTACGCAAAGCCACGTAGGTGTTTACAGTGGGAGGGGAAACCACATGGTCACCCTCTCTGAACAAGGAGGACAAGGAGGGCAGGCAGAGGTTGAGGGCACGCTCTCACCTGCGTCGTTCTCCCGGCGGTCCACCTCGTCGTACACGTCCATGGCCAGCTCCTCGAACAAGCGGTTGCTCAGCTGTGGTGCATAGACAGGAGCAGTCACACAGGGTGCTGGGGTCCCATATGTGGGGGGTGCAACCCGCTCCTATGCCGGAAGGACGCGACCCGCTCATACGCTAGGGGGGACGCGACCCGCTCTTACGCTAGGGGGGACGCGACCCGCTCTTATGCAGGGTTTCCCTGCACAGCTCCAGCTTTGGCTCCCAATAGCTTCATCAGGATGATGATTTTGATAGCAGGTCACCCTAGCCGGTGAGTGAGGTGCTAACTGCATGCTAATTAAAATGCACTCTCTGAAATGCATAGAGCCCCCCCGCACCCCTGCTCTGGACGACAGGGTTGACATGATCTCTACCCCGCCTCTGCAGGATGGCACACTCACCGCCTGGAGCTTCTTCTTGGCTGCCTTTGCCAGTTCTGATAGGTCCAGGCTGAATAAAGACACACACGCAGACACACACACGCACGCACAGACACACACACAGGGTAGAGAGACAGGGGCAGAGTGTCAGAGCAATATGACAATTCAGAACTTTACGTCAAAGTGCCACACGAGGGTGGGTGGAGTCTACGGGTACAATCCGTGTAACGTGAGAGATGGGCGGAGTCAAAGGACAAAGTCAGGTGACTGTCACCTGCCAACACCTGCCCAGTGTCACAGGGCCGCTAAACACTCTACACAGAACTGGACAATTCTCTCGTATAACTGATGAGAAGCCAGCCCATAATAGCCCTGAAAATGTGTGTGCAGATCATTCCATATCACAAATTGATTTAAACAATTACATGGACAAATATGCCACTGCTATCAATTACGTGACTGTATTGAATTACATGGTAAGGAATGTCAGAACGGGGAAAGTGAGTCTGCTCCTCTTTGCGCCTCTGGACACAGATGCAGGAATGAAGGCAAATGAAGGCAGTGTGTGAGAGAGGAGCAGAGGCCTGCCGGGTGGCGTGAGCAATGAAAAGAAGGAGAGATACCTCTGCGTCGGGCACTTAGGGCGAGCTCTGCCTCCAGCCGCGCAGCGAGATGGAGAGAACAGAAAACGAGTGAGCGAGAGGGGGAGTTAGAGGGAGAGAGGGAGAGAGAGAAAAAGGAGGAGAAACAGTAAGTTAGAAAAAGTCAGAAAGGCAGAGAGGAAGAGAGAGAGGCAGCCAGAGATCAAGCGAGAGGAACAGACCCAGGTAGCAAGTCAGTCACAGTGACCCTGGAGTTCACCTGGATTTTAACACCAACTAACCTATATAGTTTGGCACCACCTGGAGGCCAAATTACAGAAATACAGAAACATTAACCATACATGACTACAGAGCTGAAAAGAATATTTACTTTTTTCTGAGTCACTGAAAAGAAGCCATTGCAGACTATTGATCTTTAAATCATATATCGTGATCATATAAATGATAAATAACTGGGCAAAGCATCATGCACACACAGTACATCACAGGTGCGCGCGCACACA